TAGGTATAGATTGACATAAAAGCATTAAAATAATCATTCCTATATCAGACGTCACTGCTGGGAAACGAGGCCAAATGGGATCAGGACGGCGAGCCGGAATGGAGCCCAGAAACCTTCCCGCTAGATCATTCAATCCGGAGGGGGGGGAGCATTCGCTCAGCCCCCCTCGTTCCGACACTATGCTCTCCAGGAGGGAGTGAGCAGCGTGGGGCTGCTGCCGACGTCACCTGTCCCGGAGGAATCATCTGATTTGCTCCGCGAGTCGGCAATAAAGGAAAATTACAAGATGGCGTCATCCAGTGTGTAGCGACCTGCCACTGAGAAATACTCCTCGACGCTTACCTTGAAACAAGACTGCTCGTCTGCTTCTCCTCGGGGAGGAGAACTCACCGGGATGGCAGGAGGTTGACGTGGCGGGGCCACAGGCAGTCTTAGCAAAGGTTGGTCAAGCTAGACAACTTTCCTTCTTTGTTCTTCTGACAGTGCTATTAGCTTACTGAAGAAAAATGGGAGCCGATTACCCGCTCTTAAAGTAATTTATACGGACTGGGTGGGGCCCACACAGCAGGTGGGTGTGGACTAAATTTTTCAGTGCAATGCTTCGCATGACGGGATAAACCCACTAAGCGACAGCTCTTAAAGGGCAAAGCCTATACGAAATAGAACAAAAGATGCATTAAGATCTTTATTCACACAGGGTTCAACACTGGATATTTGAGCTTGGTTTAAATCAGCTGCTTCTCCCATTGGTTGAGCTGTTCTGCATCTGAAATCCAGTTTTCAACTTCTTGTATAAATCCAGTTATGGCTATACATGCTTGAAAACCAGGTATTTTGTCTTTCCTGTTTTTCAGTGGGAAACAAGAGGAATAACAGACTCATAAAGCTGATTTTCATTTTCAATCAATAATTTCAAATCATGATGAGACTTAACGTTCTTGTAATTTCCTTCATTTTTGCATGAGCTCTTTAATAATAAGCATTACTCTTTCAATGTTGTGAACCTTTGCTTTGAGTTCCTTTTGAAGCTTCTCAATTTTATTTTGTAATGCTTTAACGGTTAATTTTGGTTGTCTCTTTTCATCTTTACCACTTACAGCTGAGCTTGATTTAGATACAGCGGACTCCATTTTTATTTTTTAAATTTTGTATATATATATATTTATCTTTACGTTGTTCGTCCTTTTAACAATTCCTCTTCATACAAAGGGAGCCAGTGTGTATACGTGTCCATACCTTAGTTCCAGCGGACTTGATTGAGCTGCAGTAAAGGAATTTCATTCAAACAGGAGACACTGTGTTACACTCTGTGCACCATTGCCACTTCCAAACTGTTCCAAATAGAAACAAAGAGTCCAAACTTGCCTTTCCAATAATCTTCTCCTTCGATTGTCATTTTCTGTTGATGATAATTTTGTGGCAAACTTATGGTGTTGAGGGCCGCACTGGGTTAAACTCGGGAATCTCTGTCCGGCGCGTTTCCAAACTGACGTCACTCCAGGTCAATTCTTCGTGTCATGATAGTTTATTCCGTTTCAAATTTCCATGCTTTAAACATTACAGACTGAGACACATACTGACCAGGTCCAAACTATTGATAAATGCTTAATGGCATAACTCTATGGTGTCTTAGAACACGGTCAACAGAAAATATGACATCCTCGGGCGCACCCAACTTCCTCATCCATACAAAACCAGAACGCCAGTCAGCACGTCATTTATATTTGGTGACAGTCAACACACACACACTGACACACCCACCACCCAAGTGTCAAAGCTGCGTACTCACCTGTCAAGTCATCAATTACTTATTTCACCAATATGGCTCTTACATTATTATTATTAAAACAACACACACTGAACACAATCAGAGGAAGTGGAGGTTCAGATGTCCTGATTGAGAATTATTGGATTTGATACCTGGATGATCTATCATGAACTTTGTTGCAGCTTCAGATGTAGTTTGCTGGGCAAGTCATCCAGCGACGTTGCTGCTGGCCAATCAACAGCTGCTGTCTACTTGCATCAAAATCATCACCTCGAAGCAGTTTACTTGGAACCATAAACAAGGTGGTCCCATAAACTGGGCTTAGTGGGGGTGGATACTGACAGTAGGAAGGCCCTTAAGTAGTGCATTGTGGTGCGGATCTGATGAGAGTTGAGACAGTGGCAAACAGCTATTAGTTTTCTATCTTCATGTCCCATCAGTTCTGGTTCTGATCTGTTCTGAAACAAACGTGTGTGTAACATCAGTTGGTGTTGATGAAGAAACAGCAGCAGACCTAAGGACATTTCATTCTTTACTTTCAGCTTTGTTTAAAAAGTTACATTAGCATCTGAACAAGTAAAATGTGCTAAAGAACAGTGCTCTACGTGTCTAAAAGCTGCTTCAGACAAACACACAACATTTCAATGAGAGTAAAAAAACAAGCCAGTATATGTATATTAATACAAAGTGTAAAACAACTACACATTAAAAAATACATTAATCACCAATAATGGAAAGAAAGCAGGAAAAGTACAAAATCTTGTGGGAACAATGAGGTGGAATCCTCCAGACAAGCAGAGGGGCTCTAATGTGACTCTAATCAAACATATCATCTTCCTCCTCCTCTTCCTCATTATCAGACTTGTGGAAGTACTTCACTTCCTTCCTGGCGCGGCCCGGTCGATCCCAAGACTGAGCCTTGACAGCACTCAGGCTGTGGTCGTCCTCATCATCAGATGGAGGTTTCTGAGACTTCTACACAGAAAAAAATAAATTTTTTCAAAGGATCTCCGACTAGTTGGAACAGTAGACCCTATTCTAACTACCACTGCTTCAGCTATGAAAAAAAAACATAACAATACTGTAAGCTGTTTAGCTTTTATAGATTTTTAAAAAATTACGGACATCACTTTTTTATTTATGCTGCAATGCATTCTGGGTAAAAGTTGTAGACTGGTTGCTCTGGTGCGAGCTCCATTCAGCTTGAATGTTCATTTTGATGAATTTATGATACACAGAGGGTGCATGAAGACTACTTTCAAGTCATGCCCGTTCACTTTAACTTTCACTTTAAGCACAGCCGAAGCAGGGAGCAATACTGTGTGGCGTATTTTGCTTAACAGAACATGGTAAGTGTATTTTAACGGATCTGTAAAATAAAATATAAAAATCAACAATACTGGTAATAAGTTATCTTCAATCCTCTAACAAACTTGTCATTAGCTATGTGCCTAACGTTTAGATAACATAGCATGCCTTGTAAAACTTTATCCAGAACAATAAATCCAACGTACAAGTAAAATATATACCCTAATTTTTATTTTGTAAGTCACAGTTTTGTTGCATAAATTAGCATGCCTGCGACTTATACAGTGAAGTGACATATTTATGTTTTTTCCCATATTTATAACCAATTTTTGGCTGAGATCTGATGATTTCATTCATTCCGACTGAAAATATTGAACACTACCATTTTCAGCCACTAGAGGGCCCTCGACTAATATGGCAAGCCAAGTGTGAAAAGGTGAAAGGTTAAAGTGGCTATTAATGAGACACTTTGCTTACCATACCAAGCCACCTTCATCTCGCTCCGGAACTCCTGGAGCAAACGTCAAATCAACTGCATTTTGCCGTGCAGGTGAAATGCAGCTGATTTGACCATTAAAGCGAATTTATTAAGGAAAAGTTCAACTGAGACACACCGTTACTATAATGTTGAGCAAACAAATAATTGTTTTTAGGTGGTTATCTTGTTAAATTCTTGTTAAAGTCCTCCCGTGCACGCTCCTGCAGCCGCCATTTGGCAGCCAATCGATTTCTGGCACAACACCGGCCCACGTTTCCGGATTGTCAGCGGTGGCTCGTAATAGATGTGACATATACGGCGAAACAACGTTTATGTTTTCTTCCCCATTTTTAGACATATTTGGACTGATGCGACTTATACGGCAGTGCGACGTGTACGGCAGCAAGTACGGTATCGGTGTTATTACGTTATCTTTGTCCATTGTTTGTCTGAAATCTTTACTTCTCTGACACAGCCGTCACCACTAGTTCTTCACCATCCGTGACTGACTGTTTAAACAATGAACAGGAAGGTGTTTCTTTGTTTAATTTATATTTTTGTAACACACTTGATAACTTTATGGTGAATAGTGGAGGATAGAAAATGTGAACGCACATTAGGAAGACTGTTTCTAGACTTCAAATGTTAAAACAGGTTTAAAAGTAGCTGTTTACTTTGATTCTTGGTGGTGGACATAGATCAAAAAATTTCAGCCAATATATCGGTTATCTGCATTAGCCTTCCCCGGCCAATATTGGTATCGACGAGAGCCAAAATTTCCATATCGATCGGGCTCTACTGATCACTGCAATTAGCTGCAGCTAGCGCCTTTTTTTTTTCATTCAACCTTTATTTCTACAGGTTAATCCCATTGAGCCTCGGGGACTCATTTACAAGAGAGACCTGATTTTAATAAAGAACGATGACAACAGTGGACAACAGCGACAACAATAGACAGTTATAAAAGAGGCATACGTATACAAATTTTATTTTTTTTTATTTTTTTTAACAAATCAAAACAAAATGGCAAGCAAAAGGGCAATCAAGAGGAATAGTAGCAACAACAAAAAAAAACCCAGCTAGGTTGTAAGGCGACGTAGAAAACTAAAAACAGGAACATGTCTACATTGGTTCTGGCCAGGAACTTCACAGATGTTTGAAGCCACTTAGAGAAGTCAAGGTCGAGAGCTTCAGATCTTTTTACAAGATATTCCAGGAAACGGGAGCGGAGTAGGAGAAGGTCCTTTTGTCTAGTTCAGTCCTTACTGACTGAGGGAACACTGCAGGTAATAATGTCCTGAGAGCGCATGCTGTAGCTGCACTCACGCAGAGACATGTAGGAGGAGATGTATGAAGGCAGCAGAAGCCTACATAAACAAAAGGACCTTCTCCTTCCTGATTCTCCTGAAATCTACAATCATCTCCTTTGTTTTGTTCACATTCAAGATGAGATGGTGTGGAAACAATCATCTCATCTTGAAAGTGAACAAAACAAAGGAGATGATTGTAGATTTCAGGAGAATCAGGAACAGGTCCAACCCTATTTCCATCATGGGAGAAGAAGTGGAGGTGATGGGAGAGGTATAAATACCTTGAAGTTCACCTGGACAGACTGGACTGGAAATGCAACAGTGAAGCCATCTACAAGAAGGGACAGAGCAGACTGTACTTCTTGAGGAAGCTGAAGTCCTTCAACGTTTGCAGCAAGATGCTGCATATCTTCTATAAGTCTGTTGTAGAGAGCGCTATCTCTTCTGCCATCATCTGCTGGGGCAGCAGCACCAGAGCACATGACTTAAAAAAGATCAACAAGCTCATAAAGAAGGCTGGCTCAGTTCTGGAGACTCCTCTAGAACCTTTGGAGATGATTGTTCAAAGAAGGATTCTTCATAAAATGAAGAACATTATAGACAACCCTCAGCATCCTCTTCATCAGACAACAACAAAGTGTCTTCAGTCAGAGGCTCCTTTAAATCCGTTGTAGGACAGACCGCTACAAGAGATCCTTCCTGCCCACAGCCATCAGCATCTATAACAACTCATTAATGAAACCAGGATGATGAGTTACCACAACATATAATTTCCCTCTGGGATTAATAAAGTATTTTTGAATTGAATTGAATTTTCCTCTCCTGTTTCCTGGAATATCTTGTAAAAAGACCTGAAGCTCTCGACCTTGACCTCTCTAAGTGTCTTCAAACATCTGCTAAGTTAAGGGCAAAAACCAATGCAGACATGTTCCTGTTTTTAATATTTTACACCATTTTATAATGTAGCTGTTTTTTTTATTTGTTTTATATCACTTTTTTTATATACTTTTCATTTTAAATGCTTTAATATGTTTTTGTTTAAAATAGGTCTCTCTTGTAAATGAGTCCTCATGACACAGTGAGACTAACCTGTATAAATAAAGGTTGAATGAAAAACACAACGTACATGTAAAAAAGGCTAGTTTCAAATTCATTAACTAGATGAAGTCATAATTACTGAAGCAGATAAAAAGTCTTGAACTCACTGGAAGTCATTAATTACTGACTGGCTTCAGGTCAGTTTAGATCCTCATTAGTCAGACCCAATAAATTTTCCTTCTACAACATTGAGCTGTTTTAGATGCTTGTTGTCTAAATCAACATTAAGAATTATATGAAGTTATTGTAAAGACATTAATAATTTGTGACACAGATCCAGTTGGGCTGCGTGTTTAAACAGTTAAATTAAATAAAACGTTATTTTGTCCCGTTTTGAACGCCATCATAGCTTCTCCTTGATATACAGGTCCATCTAAAAAAATTAGCATATTGTGATAAAGGTCATTATTTTCCATAATGTAATGATAAAAA